AAAAAAAAAAAAGAAAAAACTAGCTATTGGAATTTAGATACGTTATTTCTAAACATCATAACGAAGACCATTATTCTTAGATATCGTGGTTGGCATTTATTTGATGCGAAACCCCCCTATTAATTGGTCTAGCAGCCGTCGGCAAATATACAACACCACGGACTAAAGGATTAAAACAAGGAAGTTACATACGGTCACGCACAAGGCAATTGGACCAAAAGAATAAAAAGAGATACTTACATGATTACACTGGAGGCACATCAACGCCTCCTCCAATGTGGCCCCATCCAGGATGTCACACGTACTCCCATCGGCAGCCTTAAACCCGGGCTGGCGCAAACTATCGCGATTCAAACTCGCAAAATCCCGAAGCCGGCTCATAAAACCCGTCAAATCGCAAAAAAAAGACGACATTATAGATGGGAGGGAATGAGTCGAATGAAACAAGCAAAAATTGAAACCGGCGGATGACGAGGACTTTTCGGGCGAAAGATCCAGAGAGCACTGAGGAAAAGTCCGGAGGACTCAATGCAATAAGGGCGTCATTCTGTTAAAAACAACACACAGAGTCATATAATACGACTGAGCGAACAGGGCACAATAATCGGCTCGCGTCAACTACAGATGCCAATACATGCTTTCTCTCGCTCCGAACACGTGTGCAGCAATGTTGCACAGTTCACTTTCTTTAGGAAAGGACGTCTAGGCTTGTATTTTATGAGTTTACTGAGAATCGCAGCTATTTAATATTAAGAAAGAAGTGTTCAAAATATCTCAACGAACAAAAAAAAACAACCTTATTCCCTTTTTTTTTTTAGCAAAAGTATTGTAAAAATGCTGGGACAAACAGCCTCATATAACTCGAATTAACAAATACTTTTTTACCGTTCCCAACCGTATAACAATATAATAATTACTTCGCTATGTATGTATTTTTTCTTAATTTTTTTTAAGCTGCGCAAACACACCACGATATGCAAAGGTAGAGCTATACTCCCAACTTGACCCGCAATATACAACTCGTTCACGTAATAAGATTATAGCTTAGGCTTTTGTCATTGCCTGTACAAAACGTTAGGCTTCACAAGGGAAATTAGAAACCACATACGGGTGCCACTCATAACTAAACTCTTTTTAGAAATCCAAAAAAAAGGGGAATCACAAGAACCAAAAAAGAGAAGTACCCACCCTTTTTTTGTTTTAGGGCGGAAGCCGCACAAGGAAAAAAACAAATAGGAGAAGTAGAATTAATAAAAAAAAATCCAGGAATAATAGTGGAAAACCTGGGTCCAGTCCAGTCGGCCACAGCAACGTGGAAAGTTATATGGTACGTAGATTGGAGCCAGCTGACCGAGGAGGCGGGACAATTTTTACGAGCGCAGAGGCAGGCCAGCTGGAAATGCACAGTAACATTAAGAAAGAAGGACGAATGTACGGAGCAAATAAATCGGGCCACTGAGGAAGTTCTGCAAACAAGGGAAAAAGTGCAAGAAGCCTACAGAGCAGTAGTGGGCCAAGGAATAAATAGTCACACCACAGATGTGCAAATAATTCAAGGGCAATTAACAGGTGCGGAAAAAGAGAAAATACAAGAATTAATAATTTCAAAACCTCTTACTACAATAGACACAAACAAATATTTAACGGAACATATAACGATCTCAACGTTTGGGGATCACGAAGAAGAAATACAGAAAATGAAAAAATTCGAAGAAGAAGCAGGGAAAATAAAGGAAGAAGGATTAACAATAGTCGCAGACTGGATAACAGGAATGGATAAAGTATCAAACATGGTAAAAGAATTTGAAAAAATAGCTAAAGAACTCACAACAAAATTTAGAAAGGCAGCTGATATAGTATATTTAGCGAGCCGTGGCGTAATACACCTACCGGAGGAAACACTAATAGCTATATCGGAGGCTAAAATTTTGGCAGGACAGTTAAGATCGGACCTCAAGTTTCCGGGGGAGGAAAGCGCTACAACAGAGGAAGAAATCGGAGAAACTATGGAGGCAGCAACCATAGCATTTAACGGAAAAATTATATATTATATAGAGATACCCTTGGTGACAAAAGAGGATTTCGATCTCCTCAGAATATCTCCGTTACCGGTGGAACAGGAGGGGTTTAATGCAACAGATATCGTGGCATACTTACAGCCAACATACGAATATGTGGCAATCAGCACAAGCGCAAAGAGTTTCGCACCAGTGTCGCCGGAAACTGTTCAAAAATGCAAAAAAATAGGACGAAAACGCATTTGCACACTGTTGCAACCGGCACATGAGATAGAAGAAGACCACCCGTGCGAAATAAAATTAATACTGGATTATCCAATAAAATATCCAGAGGAATGCCCGATAATATTGGCCAAATTAAGAGGCACTTACTGGACACGCCTACATGCGAAGAACCAGCATGCTTTTAGCACTACGGGAGAGGAGAAAATACATGTGCAATGCGAGCACACGGAGCATAAAACGTTAAAAGTTACAGACGCAGGAGTGATAAATTTATCAGAGGATTGCACGGCTCAAGCATCAGAAACAAGACTGAGTCCGGGATCAGAAGAGGGCAAGAGCCAAAT